CCCGAGGCGTAACATAAGGAAGGAACCGCGTTAGAATAGCGACGAAACGATAGGTTAAGCTAGGATAATAGTACTTCGATAAGGGCGCTAGCGGCGCTGGCAGTAGACGGAAGGGCGCCCGCGCGCCCTTAGGCGGAGTCCTTCAGACTCCGCCAGCGGTATACGGATAGACGATAGTCTTTAAACGAGCAGGGACGGCGTGCCTTAGTACGTCCTCCGGCGGAGCCTCGCGGCGCCGCTAGTAATACGGATAGGCCCCTAGCCTTTAAACGGTAGGAGAGGCCGCAGGCCTTTTAACGATAGTAGACAAGAGAGTACGCCTTAATACGCTCTTAGGCGGAGCCCTTAGCTCCGCTAGCGGACGATAAACGATAGTCTTTAAACGAGTCAGACGGCGTATTCTAATACGTCTTTTAGTAGATCCGACGGGATCTACTAACGGAAGATAAACGAGGGTCTTTAAACGGCGGTAGACGGACCGACGATCCCGTAGCTACGGGAGTTAGGCAGGACTTAATAAGCGTCTTATAATTACGACTTCGTACGCGAGGCTTTAGAGCTTTACGGTTTAATAAGAGGATCGGGATTAGTAGCCCCCGGGAAGTAGTAATACCCTAGGGAACGAAGATAATAGCCCGGGAAGCGGATAACGTAACCCGGGAGACGAAAACGGCGGCCTTAGGGAAATGGTATACTAGGGGGCTAGATAGTACCCGGAGCGCCGGTAGTACCCTGGGAGGAGGAGATCCCGGGGAAGAGTAAGACCTAGGGGAAGAGCGCCGGGGGACTAGAGGCGCCCGGCGTAGTACCCCGGGAAAACGAAAGGCCCCGGGAAGGAAACGGCGGACGAGGAGGAGACCCCGGGGTATAATATAACCGCCGGGGAGGATAGGAAGGAGGCCATACCCGGGGGGCATTAATACCCCGGGAAACGTACGAACGGAAGGAGGCCTAGGGATATATTAATACCTTAAGCGGCGGAGTTAGTAACCCGGGAAGCGAGTAGTATATCCCGGGGGACGGAGGTAGTACCTAAGGATACGGTACGTATCCTAAGGCGCGGAGAAAACAGGTTAGGTTATTAGGGTTAGACGCCGAAGAAAAGGGCGGTAGGGCGTACCTTTTTTTTTTTTCTAGGAGGGGACCTTATATAATAAGCTATGCTTATTATAAGGCCCTAGCTAGTGCTAGGGCTTAGCACGTAACCAGTACCTACGGAGGATAAGGCCAGCTGTTATAAGTACGGCCTATACGGCGTACCTTTTTCTGCTTTTCCTCCTCGTCTAGCTTTAGTTTATTAACATACGGCTTTTACCTAGCGAACAGCTCTTAAAACCGTGACACGTCTTAGAGATACGTTATATCCTTATTTAAAGGTCCGATTATATAAAGAGCCGCTCGTTAGGATATAGTATTAATATCGACGACTAAATCTAAACTACTTACTTTAAAGTATATAACTAGGAAAACGATAGCTTTTAAACGTTTCTTTAGAGATATTATCCTAGAATTAAAAGAGCCGTAAAGAATATATAGTAATAATTAATAAAGGATTAGATTAATAATAAGGAAGAAAGAAAGGATTAATACAAGGTTACGTTATATAAATATATAGAATATGTAGTTACGTAAGAAGTATTAAAAGAATACCTTTGAAGTAATCTACCTCCTTACTAATTAAATATTAATAAATAAACTTACGAAAGCTTTATTATACTAATCGTTCAAGTACTTTAGATCTTTATTTAACTTATAGAATACTCGCGAAAAAATAATTACGATAACGCTTAAAAAGTTTTAGTAAATACTAACGATACGTTTATTCTGTCCTTAAGAAGTTAATATATAAACCGAAAGCCTTAATATTATATAGGAAATGCTTTCTTTATCTTTAAATACCGAACTTAAAATTATTTATAAATTCTAATAAGTAAAGGTTACTTGAAAATTAAAACTTAATTATGGGATTTACGAGCTTAACGAAACTAACGACATATATAAGCGTTAATAGGTTCGTTTTAGTACTCTAGGATCTCCTCGTATAATAGGTTAACGTAACGATATAGTACTTAATAGAGATACTCTTCGAATAAGATATAGGGATAGTTAGGAACGATATTAAATACTTTCTCTATAAAAGATTACTCTTCTTCCTCGGAAGATTACTCTCCTACTCCTACGCCTCTAATATCCTCTATATCTACGTCTAACTCTTACTTTAAGATAGTAACCGATGAAGCTACGTCTTATACTACTGTTGATAGGCTGGCGGAAACGTTGCTCACGTTAATTAATATAATAAAAGGACCGGTAACTATAAAGCTAAGTCTGGTGGACGTAATTGATAGTTTAATAATTAAAGAACTCGTGTTTAATTAAATAAATTAACCGTAGTTAATTATTTCTCGTCGAAACTTATGGGTCTCCGGAATTATTAATACGTCCCTTCCTTATTAATAAAGAATAAGTAATTCTTTTATAATAGTCGTAAGCTTAGGGGCTTATAAGTAACGTTAATAAATACTAAAGAAAGCGGAATAAAGCTTATACGTTAGCCGAAGACTCGATACGAACGATTATAAGGTAAGTAATTAAAAGTATTAAAACGTCGGTCCTATATAAAGCTAACTTAAGACTTCGACGTACGGGGATAAGAATACTTATAAGGGGATATAAATATAACCGAACGAGTAACGGTAATAACGGCCGGTATTTTAAAGAAAATCGAAATACTTTTCAGTTAATTCATTCTAAGCCGTACTTCGGATATAAACTAAGTAAGAAACGGTACGCCGAACGCCGTACTTTCGATTTCGAATAATAAAAGTAGTTCTTAAAGTAGTAGTAAGGATTAGAATAACCGACGCGACGGAAGTTATAAAAGCAAGCGCCGGAACGGCGGGATTAAAGAGAATAATAAAACTAATAATTACTTTAAGAACCGAGAAAGTTCTGCGATTACGTCCTCGTCCTTAACCTCTTCCGATAATATTACTACGAATCGGAATCGTAATAATAACGATTACTTAAAAGGCCGGAGTAATAACTATATTACGACCAGTAAAAGTAACCTAACGAACTCGGATTTAAAAGCAGGTTCTACGTATAGTAACTGTAGGAATAATAAGCGTAACCGGGTAATAGCTCTCCTCTTCTACCTCCTCATCTAAAGAAGGGAAGTCTTCCTTAAGAAATTAATATTCAGAAGATAAATCAGAAGAAAGCGTAATAACTTTAAACGTAATACCTTAAAGGTCGCGAGTAATAAGAACCGGGTTACGTCGTTTTAAAGGGTTAACGATAATTATATCGACGTCTCTATTAGTAAAGGGGTCCTCGAGGGACTATACGATTATTAGGTTTCCGGATTTAGAAGTAAAAAGCGGTCCGCCGCCGTAAGCGTAGTTACCGGCCGAAGGTTTAATACTATTACCTATATACGTAACCTACGCGTAACTACCGGTTAAGGCACGGGGTTCCCGAAGGATAGGTAGTTAAAAGCTCGTAATCAAAAGATTAATAACGCGCTACTCTAACGAAGTTATAAAGCTCTAAAGCGATAATACGATCTAACGTAACTCCAGAGTATCCGATATCTTAAGAAATCGTTACTTACGGTACTATCCTACTACCGATAGATAACGAGTAAGTAATAAACAGATTATTTTAGATAATCTCCTATCCATTAATCCAAAGTAACTAACGATCGCTTCATTATCCTAGGCTATTTTAATATTAAAAGTAATATATTAATTATAAATAACAAGCCTTACCACGATAAATTAAACTCTATCTTACGATCGTGTAATTAAAATATATTACGATTCGTATAATACGCGAGTTACGCTCTACGTTAATTATAGATAAAATAAACTTACCTTATAATAATAATTAACGAAATATTACTAAATATATTAACTTACGCTCACATAATTGATAAAATTACTTAATTATAGTTAGAAATATATACTTACGATAAATAACCTAGGGAAGAAAGAAAAAGCAAGAAATAAGATTAATCCGAGAACGAAATTACCCGGATATATTTACGCTTAACCGCCTTCGTAAGAGAAACGGTAGAATCGATTAATAAAGGTAACGCGAATACGCGCGACGATAACTAAGGAAATTAAATCCTAGTATTAATACTAGAACGACTACCACTACATTATATATATAGCTAACTACCGCTTAATCGAAAGAGAATAATTATACGAACAATTACTTTCCTTTATTATAAACTATGAAATACTAAGTAGGGGGTACGAAGAATATATAACTTAAGAGAAAATACTACTAATAATAACCGGAATATATATGGATAAAGGGACTTAGGAAAACCCGAAATAATATACCCAATAATTAATCAACCTCTATTAAACATAACGAAACTAAGGAGCAACCCCTTAGGCTACCATCGCGAATAAAGGACTATAGTTAACCTTACTTTCGTAAGCTTAACTAAAGGATATATCACGTAGGCATACGCCCCTAATAAGAACTACCTAGCTTACTTAAGCTAATTAAGCACTTCTATATATACTTATAGATTACTCCATACTCTCTAATAAATTTCCTTCTTTCTAATTAATTAATATATACCTTCTTACCTGCATTCCATTACTCCCTTTACGCGTAACCTAGTAAGCTATACGTAGCTCTTACCAGCTACGTAATACCTTGATATATTTTCTTTGTTTTTAAATAGTTAATTAATTTACCTTCTTCTTTCTATATTTCGATACTCTCCAAAGCAACCTTAATACCTACGTAGCTATCCCGATCTATATAATAAGTTTTAATAACTATTTACTATGTAAAAGTAATATATTAATAATTTAAAGCTATACGAGGAAAATAAAAAGAAAAGTACACTCTATACACTGTATTTAAATTAGCTAACTTATTTTTTATAAGCGTTAAAACTAAGATTACGTACTAAGCCTTAGTATTAACCAAGGCTCTATTATTAAACATAGGCTATTATACGAAAAGCTTAAATAACTATAATTAAACGACATTTCCTAAAACTACATTTAATAAAATGTAATATAATAATTTAAAAAGTAATAAGTATTAAACTAATAGTAAAAGTAAACTTATTTTAAATTTTACATAAAAAAAACCTAGTTCATTTTATAAAAGTGCTCTTAGTATTTACCTAATGTAAAAGATCAAGATTGAAGATAGTTTATTATCTAACGCTTTACTTTGTGGCGCAAGGGACACCAACGTTACGAATATCTTCCAGCTCTCATCCTCGCTAGGATAGGATAACATGGTGCCTTACCATACCCTGGTTACCTACGAGACAGTCGCCTTCTCCTTAGGTAGCGGGGTAAACCGCAGGTACGGCTTCACGATACGGAAGTCGGGGAACAACTCCTTAGCCTGCTCGTTCTTGACGCTAGGGTGAACGATGACGTCGTCACCAGGAACCCAGTTGATGGGGGTAGTGACCTTATGCTTGTCGCCAGTCTGGAGAGAGTCCACGATGCGTAGGACCTCGGCAGAGTTTCGACCGGTAGAGGCGGGATATGATAGGATCGTCCTAATTGTCTTCTTGGGGTCGATGATGAAGACTGAGCGGATAGTAAAAGCGATGCCCTTCTCATCAACATTGGTAGTGTCCTGGTAGTCAATCCTAGAGATCTCGTCAGAAACTCATCTTGCTCCTCGGACCAAGCTCGGGGGCGAGGCACTTACATGTCATATTGGTAAGCGACCTTGCGCTCCTTGTCAGCGATGATGGGGAAGGACACGTGTGACCCAGTCACCTCGTCGATGTCCTTAATCCAATTCTCGTGGCTACCGCGAGTGTTGGCGGAGAGGCCAATCAGCTTGACGCCTCGCTTGGTGAACTCGGGCTCGAGCTTAGCGAAGGCGCCAAGCTCTGTGGTGCAGACGGGCGTGAAGTCCTCGGGGTGCGAGAAGAAGACAACCCAGCCATCGCCGACGAACTCGTGGAAGTCGATGGGGCCCTTTGTGGTTTCAGCCTGGAAATTGGGAGCAATGGAGCCCAGACGAAGACTGCAGTCACAGGTAAGCAAGCTGGTAGGCGGGCAGGCCGACGGCGGTTGGGAGGGGGAGGGGGAGGAGGGACTCACGGGGCAGGTCTGGATTCGGCCATGGTTTACGCAGGGTGCACACAGCGGGAGAACAGCGGTAAGCGAGAGAGGGCAGACAGATAGACAGATTCGACAACAGGCAGAGAAGCTGGGGGGGGGAGAGGGGCGGGCGCAGGAGGGGGTTGGTGGGAGGGGGAAGAAGAGCAAGAGGGGCGGCGGGAGAGCAGAGCCACGTCAGATTTAATATACCTATGCTCCGCCTCACCCACCACCCGCCCCCCTTTCCCCTCCCGGTCGTAGAGCTGTGTATCATAGACCCATGTGATGTCGCCGATGATACGTACCCAACATACCCACCCACCTCGCCCTCGCGCGGGCGACGGCCAAGAAGGTAGCCGGCCACACCCCCGACCGCGGTCGACGCAGGTCACCGATGTCCTACACGACCCAACCCTCCTGCGCAGCCGACGGCGACCGGCCGCGGATCCAGACGAGCAAGCCGGGCAGACGGCGAAGTCTGGCTGCGGCCGGATGAGGCGCGCCCAGCTCACGTAGCTGAGCGCCGCACCCTGCCGCCGTCCTATGCAGCCATGTACCTATGTTATATGGTATGCGGGTGGCAAGTATCGCAGCTCGTAGCTAGGTAGATCACGCCGGCGCGCACTGGGCTGATTCAGGAGGGGGACGAGGGCGACACGGTTGGGCAGGCGACGGAATGCGACGGGTTGCGCTCGGTTGGAGAGACTAGCCAGTAGGACTTGCGAATGGACAACATACGGCGAGCTGCCGGGTCTTGTCGCGAATGTCGCCATCCGTTCACTCTCTGGTGCGTTCTCTTGTCAGTCGAGAGAGAGGGGGCCAAGAGGCCGTCGAGGTGGTCGACGTCTTCACCAAAGAGCCCCTCACTAGTCGATATTAGGCATGACCCGCGATGGCGTGCTGCGATGCTACCCTGATTGGCTACCGGGCTCTGCTGTTGCCCGCATCATGCCATTCGTAACGTGCAATGGCGTCATCGTCGCAGCACGCCAAACTACGTGTAGTCTATCGTGCCGGCTCTCGGCCGGCCGACCCGTCCCGCCGTAAGAGCGGATGTCGGCTGGAAGCAACAATGATACTCTCCAGTCGGGAGGAAGCCGGAGCTTAGTGGAGAATTTCCATCACGTGACAACACGACCTGAACGAGACTAAGGAGAACCAACAAATCTTGATTTCTAAGAATTAGATAGTTAAATTAATAAACAGCTATGCTAAAATTCAATTTAATTTAATAAGCCTATTTAAATAATTAATATAAAGTAACATATTAATATAGTAAAACGTGATTTATTAAAGGTTTAAAAAGTATAATATAAATTATATATATATACTACTTAAACTTGATTTTTATAAAAAGAAATAGTATAAGTATTAAGAAGGAGCAGAGCGTACGCGATACTGGAATCCCGGATAGGCTTACTCGAAAGGATACTTTATCAAAGACTATAATACGTACGATAATCTAATATAGATGTAATGGGCTATGCCCATAGTAGGGCCCTGGCTAGTGCCAGGGCATAGCACGTGATCAGGCCCTTAGTACCTACGGAGGATAAGGCCAGCTGTTATAGGTACGGCCTATACGGCGTACCTTTTTCTCCTTTTTCTTTTCGTCTAGCTTTAGTTTATTAACATACGGCTTTTACCTAGCGAATAGCTCTTAAAACCGTGACATAAAGCTAAACTAACCTTATTTTATCGTTTTACGGATTAGTATCTTAACGAGCGGAATTAGTAGTAGGAACGGCGATGCAGCCCTTAGAGAAGCGGTGCTAAGCTAGTAGTCGGAAAGGCGGTATTAGTTTTAGATATACGCGCCGGCGGTACTTACGAAGAGGACCGACGATAGTAATAGTATCTTAGTACGCGGGATTAGTAGTAGGAAAGGCGATATTAGCGTTTACGCGAGCTAAGTTAGTAGTCGGAAAGACGGTATTAGCTTTTGGATATACGCGCCGGTAGTAACTACGGACGAGGACCGATATAAAATAACCCGAAGAAAACGACTAATAGATCCCGAGAAAACGTAGATTTAGACGGTAATTTTAAGATAAGGACGACGAAAAATACGGCTGAAAACGGCGGAAAATCTTTTTCCGGAGAAAGATAATAGAGCGCTAGAGTATAGCGCTCGTCGAGAGTTAAGAACGCCCGAGGCGTAATATAAGGAAGGAACGGCGTTAGAATAGTAGGAAATACGACAAGGTTTCGGTTAGAATAATAGTACTTCGATAAGAGCGCTAGCGGCGCTAGCAGTAGACGGGAGGGCGCGCCCTCGCGCGTCCTTAGGCGGAGCCCTTTAGACTCCGCTAGCGGTATACGGATAGACGATGGTCTTTAAACGAGTAGGGACGGCGTGCCATTAGTACGTCCTCCGGCGGGGCCTTACGGCTCCGCTAGTAATACGAAAGGATAGGCCCCTGGCCTCTAAACGGCGGGAGAGGCCTAGGCCTTTTAGTAGTAGACAGGAGGGCGCGCCTTAGTACGCTTTTAGGCGGAGCCCTTAGCTCCGCTAGCGGACGAAAAACGATAGTCTCTAAACGAGTCGGACGGCGTACTCTAGTACGTCTTTTAGCGGAAGATAAACGAGGGTCTTTAAACGGCGGTAGACGGACCGACGATCCCGTAGCTACGGGAGCTAGGCTAGACCTAATAAGCGCCGATAGCGACTTCGTACGCGGGGCTTTAAAGCTCTACGGTTTAATAAGAGGATCGGGACTAGCCCCGGGGAATAGTAATACCCCGGGGAACGAAGATAGTAGCCCGAGAAGCGGATAACGTAACCCGGGAAACGAACGAAGTACCCGGAGACGCGAAGAGCCCCCGGGTAAACCGAAACGGAGACGGTAGCCCTAGGGAAATGGCATACCGGGGGGCTAGATAATACCCGGAGCGCCGGTAATACCCTAGGAGGAAGAGGAAAGGGAGAGAGGCTTTCGGGGGGAGTAGCTACCGGGAGAGCGTACCCGGTAAGCGAAGAAACCCGGGAGACCTACGGCGGAAGAGGAAGAGACCCCGGGGTATAGTATAACCGCCGAAGAGGAAGGAGGCCATACCCGGAGGGTATTAATACCCCGGGGGATAATCGGAAGGAGGCCTAGGGATATATTAATACCTTAGGCGGCGGAGTTAGTAACCCGGGGAGCGAGTAGCGTACCCCGGGGGACGGAGGTAGCACCTAAGGATGCGGTACGTATCCTAAGGCGCGGGAAGAAAACGGGTTAGGTTATTAGGGCTAGACGCCGAAGAAAAGGGCGGCAGGGCGTACTTTTTTTTTTCCCGGGAGGGGACCTTATATAATAGGCTATGCTTATAGTAAGGCCCTAGCTAATACTAGGGCATAGTACGTAATTAGGCCCTTAGTACTTACGGAGGATAAGGCCAGCTATTATAGGTACGGCCCATACGGCGTACCTTTTTCTCGTTTTTCTCCTCGTCTAGCTTTAGTTCATCAACATACGGCTTTTACCTAGCGAACAGCTCTTAAAACCGTAACAATAAATAAAATTAATATTATTATACTAATCGAGAAACGAGGAATCTAATATAATTATTATACCTCAGGTATATCCCTTAGTCGTAAAGATATAGTAATCGCTAACCCTAAGGCATAAGAGGTAAGAGGAGAAAAGGAACTAAACGTAAAAGTTACTTATTCGGCTATAGTAGTACGACGAAGCGACTTAAGCGCTTATAACTAAAATAGATATATTAATTAGAGAACGACGAATCTAATAATAAAAACGAATCTTTAATTAAAGTAAAAATAATAAATATAATAATTTAACTAAGTAATAAACTAAATAATAAGTATAGTATAGCCCGTACTTACAGGAGTTATAGTTACTTTATATAGGTATAAAGCCTATCGTAACGTATTACGTAATGTATTAAAAGGATATATCTTATCGTATTATTATAACCTCTTTAATTTAATTATACCTTAAGGAATAATTAAATTAAAAAAGATAGTACGGTATATTCCCATTAATATCTCTCTTTAAAAACTACCGTAAAACTTCATTCTATCGGTTATTATTTAATTATTAAAGCCGAGCCTTTATCTTATCCTTTAATATAACGAAGAAATTCCTTTATTACTTTACGGTTAACTTAACCCGGTTTATCCTTACTAATATAGCCCGATCGGCGTATTCTTTCTCTATTTCGGTTACCTTCTTCTTAATCTCGGCTTATCTTTCTTAATTAAGGGAAAAATAAGGAAGTAGGTACGTTCCGAGGATCGATTAAGTATTTTCCCTCTACCTATACGGTATAGAGGTTTCGTTAGATTAGAAAGCTTTAATCCTAACTAGGTCGGGGAAAAGGAAGAGGTAGCTCGTAACCTTAATAAGGTCGTCGTATCAGAGGTTTACGTCCGTTAATACGAAGAAGCGGAAGGGATTAAGTACTAAGGCTACGGAAGAACGGCGGACCTTAACTTACGCGAACGAATGAACGGAAGATTTACGGTTAGAGGGCTTTCCGACCGAGGTATTTTCGGTAAAGGCTATAGTGTTAATAAGGTCGATACGCTTTTTTTAATTTATAGCTTATCGGAAACGCTTAACGATATTAACCTCTTTCTTTAAAATCTAAACGTTATAAAATTACTTTATTATCTTCGCGTATTTCCTTATTATATTAAAGGAATTAAGCCTTCCGTTTTCTTAGGCTTATTAAACGACTTCGATTAGTTATTTAAAAATAAGATACGGTAAAATAGCACTTTAAAAACGATAATGTAGTAATTTGGTAAAACATACCCTCTTAATGGATTCCGTAATACGCTACGATAGGCTTTATACCTATATAAAGTAACCATAACTTCCGTAAGTACGAGCTATACTATACTTATCATTTAATTTACTACTTAGCTAGATTATTATCTTTATTATGTTTATCTTAATTAAAAATTCGTTTTTATTATTAGATTTGTTATTCTCCGATTCATATATCGATTTTAATTATAAGCGTTTAAGTTACTTCGTCGTACCGCTATAGCCGAATAAATAACTTTTACGCTTAACCTCTTTTCTCCTCTTACCTCTTATACCTTCGGGCTAGCGACTACTATATCTCTACGACCAAGGGATATACCTAAGATATAATAACTACATTAGATTCCATATTTCTCAATTAATATAGTAAT